AAAGACGGCCTTAGCTGCAATTTGAACAGCCAGCCAGGCAGGCAGGCAGGCAGACGTAACCGTAAATTCGTATTTGCCAAGCAATGCTTTGGTTGCGTATACGACCTGTTGTCTACCTTAAAATGCCAGAAAACACAAACAACTCCCTTGCCTGCTTAAGAAATCTTTGAATTACTAATAAAATTTGTTTAACTAAATACTCCCACCCACACTTTGTCGCTTCTGTATCTAAATACTAATCTTTTCTCCACTCTCGTGTTTCTTTTCGTTGCAGCAACAAGTTGTCGAGCTATCGGGCTACGTAATTATTTTGGTGAAAAATGTTGAGGGCAAAATTAAGCTGTACGGCTCACCGCCCGATCGCGATAATCTGGAAGTGGGCGATGAGATACTCGAGGTCAACGGTCTGACCTTGGAGAATATCTCGTATGCGGAAATTATACGTCACATCTATGAGGTGAGTTGTGTTAATGATTTGATGGAAAGTTATTAATAATTTTGGTTTAATTTTTGCTAATCATTTCTCTTGCAGTGCATAAAATCCTGCACAATTTGCCTGCGTGTACGCAAAAAGAATGACACCAGATTGGGTAAGTGGAAAAAAATACTAATATACTACATACATATTTATTAATTAATTAATTAAAGTAGTTAGCGTATTTTGGGAATTTCTAAAGGCCATTTGTTTAAAGCTTTTTATTTACAATTCTTAATTGGTCAAAAATGTATGCACAATTTATATGTACAGCAGAGATGGGCGCGGGTTAACCGGAACTCGCGGGACCCACGGTATTGGTATCGGGAAGGTATTTAAAAGCTGTGTGGGCGAGGCGGTGCCGAAATGCTTTCCCGACACTCCCGATAAAACCAGCAACCTCCGCAAATTCAGAAAAACTCCCTTAAAAATATTTTTATGAAATACGCACTTTTTTATATTTTATTGAGACCAAAACGAGCATAAAAGTAAAAATTATTATTTTACTATTTAAAATTAATTGTGAATTAATCTTAGTGATAGGTTACGGGACCTATGGCGCCCGCGGTAGAATTCTGAATTCAAATTGCTGAAAATGGATGTCCAATTTTTAATTGACCAAACGTTTGTATACAATTCTTAAATGGCAAAATGAAATGTCAAGTTTTATGTCCCGTTTTTTTATGATCAAAAATGTTAGTTACATTTTATATCCAGTTTCCAATTTTTAATCAAGAATATCTGTTACATTTTTGAATGTTCAAAAATTTATGCTCTCTTTTTGAAGCCCAAAAGTTAGTTAATGTCTAGTTTTTTAATTACTTAAACTTTATAATATATGTATGTATCTAGCACTTTCAATGGTCAAAATTTACGGTTTTTGTCCAGTTTTAAAATGGCTTAAAATTTATTTTCAGCTTTTAATTGATCAAAAATTAATATACAGTTTTCAAATGGCCAAAAATTGATGTCCAATTTTTTGTCGTTCTAAAAGATACAAATTTAATATCCAACTTTTATCTTCAGTTTTCTTATTAAAGTGTGTGTGCAGTTTTTAATTGATCAAAAATTTATGTAGAGTCTTTAAATGGTAAAAAATTAATGTCCAATTTGAATGTAAAATTTTTTAATAACCAAAAAATTCACATGTTAACCATTTCCAAATGATCAAAGTTGAATCTCCAACTTTTATATCCAGTTTCGGAATGGTTAAAACTTCGAGTCGATTTATTCATTAATCAAAAATTTATAAACAGGTCTCAAATGGTCAAAAATGTGTGTCCAATTTTTATGTGCGGTTTTCAAATGACCAAAAATTTATATGTCCATTTCTAAATGATCAAAACTCGGTGCCCAATTTTTTATATCTAGATTTCGAATGGCTAAAGGTTGATGTCGAGTTTTTTGTTGATCAAAAATTTATTTACAGTTCTCAAATGGTCACTGGGTACTTTATGTTATATCTTTATGTGTAATTTTAAAATTAACTAAAATTTATATATTTCTGGCGTTTTAAAATACTCAAAATTTAATGCCCACTTTTCTAGTGGCTAAAAATTTAGTTCAAAAGTTAATAGAAAGTTCTTAAGTAGTTAGGAATTTATGTCCAGTTTTTATGTCCCGTTTCTATGTCCCATTTTTAAATTACCAAAAATTTATATATGTATATACCATTTTTAAATAATCAAAACTTAATGTCCAACTTTTATGTCCAGCTTTCGAATAGCTAAACATTTACGTCCAGCTCTTAATTAAAAAATGCATGCAGTTTTTCTAAAGTCAAAATTTATACACAGTTTATTAATGCCAAAAATATATGTACTGTTCGTAAATCCAATATTTATGGCCACTTTTTAAATTTTAATTAAATTTTATCTTGAAACTTTCGGTGATTTACTCACTAGCCTAAATGCAATGGGAGTCATAAAGAGATAGACCAATACATATAGCAGTTTATCTAAAAATGAGGGAAATGTCGCCAACACAGAAGCATACAATCCCCCAAAAAAATAGAGTAGCTAAAAAATAAAAAAAAAACTTTAAAAACACTTTGTAGAGCAACCAGAGCAGACCAACTTCCTTTTTTCAGGGGAGCTATCTAAAAGCGCCCTAATTAAGGCCGAAAGGACATTCGCCTTTGCACTGGGGCAAATCGAACAGAAAACTTTTGTCCCTGCTATCCATCAGATTATAACTTAAAGCATCTTTCAGTCCCAATGTCAGCCCAGAAAATCTGCCAGTTGTACTCTGTTGAGCAGCCGTTGCCTAACAATTACCTCTTTCAGAACTCAATAAAATCTAAAATTGCCCGCATCAAATCATCTGCATTAGCTGACGTTGAATGCAACAGTTTATTTTCTTTTTAATCCTTATTGCCATTAATGGCCACAATTAGCAATCGAGCGAAAAATTTTTGATCAAGTGGAATGCCACAACCACTTATGGCACTGGCCACTGGCACTACGTTTGCTTTGAGCAACAATTTTTGACTTCTTTTTTTTCTGAATTTTCCTTGCAATTTATTAAGCGCTCAAACGCCTGTGCTTTCCGTTGTGCATTATTGCGTATATTTGTATGTACTTATGTATGTAAGGGTGTGAGTGAGTCGTTTACCGGCAAAATGCCAGCAATTAGCAACGCCATCAATCGGCAATCAGTTAAGCAGCAGCCGCAACACCATTTTCCCCCCACCTCACCTCACCTCGCCTCAACCACTGCCTCAACCGAAACTGCAACTAATGCAAAGCTTGCATAATCCAAGCGATGGAATCACAAATTTCGCAATCGCAATTCACACAAAGCGCTTTAGTAGGCATTTAACTTTGTTCAGCTGCCGCACATTCTAATAAATATTTATGTGTGTGTTTGTGCAGGTGTACGCTTGTGTGCAGGTGCGCTTAGGCATTAGCGGCTTAGACAAGTTTGGCAAATGAATGCGAATTTAGCGTTTATTATCCTCGCGCAACTCCAGCCGCCTCCCACGCTTGCTACATTGCATTCACTTACCTGCCGCATCAAAGTCATTTTCGTAGCCATTCTCGCTTAGTACGCGCTTCCGCTTCCGTTTCCGTTTCCGTTTCCGTTCCCATTTGCCGCTGCACTGTATGCTCGCTGCTTTTGCGGTTTGCCTGCATTTCTGCTACCTGGTCATTGCATTTTGGCAACACATTTTTAAATAAGCCTCAGGCTATGCGCCGCGAGTGCATAATGAGTAGTGTGCAAAAAAACAAAATAGCAACAAAAACAAAATAAGCGAGTAGGACGTGTAGATTATTTTCACGTGTGTGCATTTTGGCAGCGCCGGAAATCGTTTCGAGTGCTGAGAGGATAAGTAGGGAAAATATTTCAGATTTTTTATTTTGCCATTTTTGCAGATGAGGTTTTGTTGAATAAAACACAAGTGGTTAACTATGCTGCAGAAAAAAAATTGAAAAAATATCCGGTTTTTTTAATTAAAATTCGTGTTTTCGCTCCCACTGTAAAAATAATTGCACTCGAATGGTAGAAAAAATTATAAATAGTGCAACAAATTTATCGCGAACCGCCTTTTTGGTCTTATGATACCATGTTTTTTTTTTAAGTTGGCAACTCTGTCAAAAAATCTTAATAGACTTACATGTCGTAAACTACTTTTATGGAAGCATTGCTTTATATGCAGGTAAATGTTTTTAACGATTTTAAGGATAAATTTTTTTGCGGCTAGTAGATGGCAACCCTAAATAAAAAATTTTTTTGGAATTAAGTTTTTATATGTTTTCCGTTTTGAATGATGTCTTAACTAACTATTTGTATCATTTAATTTATTTATTTTTATTTATTTAATCTTTAAATTAATAGGTGGCAACCTTTGTGTAAGAATAGCGTATGTTTAAGTTCCCTTAGTCTCCTTTTGTTTGACACCA